GGTCACATTATTTATGTACGACTCGAATCCCAACTGAGACATCATTGACAAATAGTTATACACCTCATTATTCCTTACATCTAACAAGTCCATGTTTATATCACCCAAAAAAAATTCAAAATTGTTATCATTATAACTATAATAATGTATAATAATGTAATTATCCAATAGCAAGCGGTGTACCGATGAAGCTATTGTCTCTTTAAAATTTGTTATTGTTTACATTTTCCTTTAATTATGCGCCATAATGGATCATTCTTGCTGCACTCTGTCTTAATTCTTTGTCTAAACGATTTTTAAATATATTAACGTTTGCTGCAGTAACCGTTTCCTCTGTGAGTGCATTCCATGAATATACCACACGATTGGTCAGAAAATTCTTCCTTTGGAGTTTAGCAGCCCTTTCCTTGTCTATTTTCATAGAATGTCCTCGAAGCTGTGGATTCTGGTTGAGACGAAAGATGTTCTTGATTTCGCACTGATAGTGTCCACTAATTATTTTATACGTTTCGATAAGGTCTCCTCTATGTCTTCGCTCCCTTAGCGTTGTTAATTGAAGTCTTTCCAGTCTTTCTGGGTATGGTAAATTTTTCAGTTCATTGGGTATCTTCGTGACTCTTCTTTGTATTTTTTCCAGGATCTCAATATCTTTTACGTAATATGGGTTCCATACTGTGTAAGCGTACTCAAGTTTTGGCCTAATATAGCTTTTATATAGTATTGAAATCATTTCCATTGTGTGGTCTTTGAATGCCTGTTTTACAAGGTAGACGAACGAGTTGGTCTTTTTGGCTATTTTCAGAATGTGGTTTTCCCATTTTAAATTTGCAGTCACGATAACACCCAGGTCATTTTGCTCATCCACTACCGACAAAACTGTGTTATTCAATGTGTATTGTTCGTTTGGGTTGTTTGGACCAATTCTTAATACTGTGCATTTAGATTCGTTTAGTTTCATCCCCCAGGTACTGGACCATTCCTCGATTCTTTGAAGATCTCTCTTGAGCTGAATTGCGTTAAGACAGGGGTTTGCATATATTTTACCATCATCAGCAAAATTTTTCATTTTCGTCTCAATCAGGTCGACAAGATCGAAGAGATATGCCGTAAAAAGCAAAGGCCCTATTACTGATCCCTGAATAACTCCGCTGCTGACTGGATGTTGCTTAGACATTTCGCCATTCACTCTCACTTGATAATGTCTTTTGTATAGGGAGTCTGCTATCAATGACAGTATTTGTCCTCGCACACCATAGTGTTCAAGCTTGATAAGCAAATAATTCTGAGGAACTTTATCGAATGCTTTTTCATAATCCAAATAGATAATGTCAGTTGGTTGGGAGTTGTCATGGTTTTCTGTCCAATCATCCAGGCATTCGATTAGGTTTGTTGTAGTGGACCGTTTTGGAAGAAATCCATGCTGTGATGGAGGTATCAAATTGTTTTCTGTGAAAAATGATGTTAATTCTTTCACAATAATTTTTTCCATCCATTTCAATGGATTACAGTTGAGGCTTATGGGACGATAATTTTCTGGTTTGTGTCGGTCTCCTTTTTTAAATAGCGGTGTTACTATTGACAGTTTCCATTGCTCCGGGATCCTTCCCAGATGTATACACTCTTGCATCACTTCTGCCAAGTACGAACTAATTGTTTCACTGCAGTTCTGGAGGAAGATTGTAGGAATTCCATCTGTACCAGGACTTGATTCTTTTTTCATTTTCGTATGGGTCTCTTTTACCTTCTCTTCAGTGAAGACTATGTTGGTGATTGAGTTCTGGTTTCTGATACTTGCTGGCTGTGGTGGAGGGGTGTAGTTTTGTGGTTGAGAGAATGATTTATCAAATTGGTATGCAAATTTTTCCGACATGGTTTTGTTATCCATAATTTCGTGACTGGTTGGATCTTTGAGCGTTATTGTAGACACTTTAGAGTTTAAGGCTCTACTTATGTATTTGTACAACTGCTTAGGTGACTTTGAGGCTGCTAAGTTATGTTCATATGTTTTTCTAGCATCAAATAGTTTTTGTTTCAGAGTGTTGTTTTGATTTCTGTAAAGCTGATAGTTTTCTGGCGTTTTATTCTGCCTGTATCGGTCCCATAGTTGTCGCTTGTTATCAATTTCCTTGAAATGTGCTGCAGTAATCCATGGCTTTTGCTGGTTCACTTTTATTGATCTTAATGGAATATACCTTTCTATAGCCTCATTAATAATTCTTTGATAGTTGTCAAATTTTGATTGTTCTGCATTAACCTGCTGTTATCTGATATAACCATTTATTTGCTCATATTTTGCAGTGCGAAAATTTCTTTTTTGAATCTTATGGGTTTGTTTCGGCGGTAATTTTATCTGGGCTCTCGCTGTAATAACAACATGGTCACTTTGCCCAACTGGTGGCTCAGATCGAATGTCAAAAATACTTTTTTTATCGCTGCTCAAAAACAAGTCCAAAAGGGAGCTTTGACTATTCCTAAATCGAGTTGGGAAGCTTATTAATTGATATATGTTACTTTGATTATACATATCCATAAAATCCTGTGCCCTCTTGTCAGCCGGTATTACCCCCAGGGTATCCCAGTTTATGTTGGGGTAGTTGAAATCACCTAGTATAATGGTTGGGTTTTTGCATGCAAATGCCTTACCCAACTGGTTAATCAATTGTGCATTAATTTGTTCTGTTGTAGTGTTTCCTGGCCTATATATGCATGCAATGAGAAATTTGATTTTTTCTATCTTTAGGTCTAGCCATATTGCATCAACTGGTGCATCTATGGGATAGTTCTGGGAAAGTGCACAACTAAGGTTATATCCATTTACTACATTCTTAACAAGTATACACGATCCCCCTCCTCTCTGATGCGGCCTGTCTGCTCGAAAGATACTGTAACCTTGTAAATTTATTATGCTGTCAGTTACACCATCAGTAAGCCAGGTTAGCTAGTTATGTTTCCCAGACAAGTTTGAACATCTTCAATAAAATCCGTCTTAGATATGGGTAGCGGTTTATATACCGCAGTTATACCAATCTTGAAACCATTTACAACATGTTAATCTGCTTACAGTAGCTAAAGAGATTCGTAGCCTGATAATTTGAAATTTGACATTTTCAATATGATTTTTTACTAAAATTATAATACCGTCATTTTTGTTATAATCAGCATAATTGTAAAACATTTGATAACCAGGTATATTACATTGATCTATTGAGGAGATTTTAAATGTTTCATTTAAGATGTCATTATAATCCAATTCAAAAGTTTTTAAGAGCAGTATTGTCAAGCCAAAGAATAACACCCATGACAGTATCAAATTATCAATATTTTTTACCACACTTCTAATGTTAGTATGCAATAAATTAAGAACAATATTTTTTTTTTTTTACTTTCTTTCGTAAACCATCACTATCCACTAAAATTGTTTTTTTATTACTTTCAGCTTGCATGCCTTCTAAAAGTTCATCTTGCACTAATTGTACCATTATGGAAAGTCATAATAAGTTTTGCTTCTTATTAGGTCTATGTGGTACTTAATGGAAGACTTGTGTCATACTGTAATTTAAATTTGCTATTTGCATTACAGCAGTTTTTACATTTCTTTATTTGTTTTGTAGTGGTGAACTTTTTGTATTCTTGAGAATCTATTTTCTCTTTTAAGGTGATCATATCCTGGTAGTACAAGTGTGCACTGTTGGCGTAATTTAATTGGCCTGCAGCATGGAAGATGGGGATGATTTCTCTGACTGGGTCGAGGTGGAGGTTCCAGTCACCCATACATTCAGCTCTGATGAAATTTTTCATTAGGGTACACAGGCAGAAGTATTACATCCATACTGTCGCAGTTGGTCCTCTATCCTCAATTTTGTTCAGCACTTTCAAGAATTTAACTCTCACTGGCATGTGCCAGAGCAAGACATTTTTTCTTTCACGATTCCAGTGAACCCCGTTTATTTGTCAAAATGATAGTATGGAGAAGAAGCAGTGTCTCCGGAACAACATGGTGAGAATCACCATGAAAATTATTAATTGGGGGGTGAGCTTCAATGGTAAACATTTTAATTTTACCTGCAGTTTTTACAGTTCGATTTCTTTCTTCTTGAGGGTCTCCATTTTTTTCATTCAGATACCACTTGTCAAACAAAATTCTTTGGCCAGTGTTCTTGAAACATACGACACTTTCTCTGTTGAGTGAACCAGAGATGATTATGTCATTTTCATACTTCTTCTCCGTGCGCTTTTTCATAGTTTTAACATGTGGACGAAAATTTTCGGATACCTTATCAAGCAACTGTCCAAGGGAAAACTGGCATTCATCACTGTTCTCCTTGAGAAAATTAAATATAATTTTCATGGCTTGATAAATAAACTTTTATTAACGGACAAGCCATTTACAGTAAATAACATAATACAAAAATATATGACGTTATAATATTAACGAAAAACACAAGAACTTAAAATTTAACATTTACGGTACATATAAATACACTGACATTTAGCGCTGCAGACTATTTAACAAATGTTTACAAGTTTTCAGAGACATGCCAAAAAAATCAAAATTGTTGGGTAGCTGATTAGCTTCTCTGCATATTCTAGCCATAGGACAGAAAAAACCATAATTAGTCCTATGATACTCGCTATGAAAAAGATGCACTTGCCTAGTCTGTCTCACAGGGGCACGCAGGGAAATGCTGTTCAACAAAGGGGGACAGTCAATTAAGTTATTAAGCAACTTGAAAAGTAAACAAATATCATAATTCCTTCTACGTGCCTCTAAACTAGAAAGACCCAGCAACCGCAACAGGTCATTGTAGTTTGATGGTTGGGAGGAGTAGGTTGTCCCGGCTTTTTGTGGACACATTTAGGTATTTTGTAAACTTGCGTATAACAAAATTGTGTTTGCTACCTCTGGAAGCGTAACTTCATTTGTTTTTGTCTGTACTCCTCAGTAACCCATTTATCGCATAAGAAGCACTTGTTGTTGAAATTGAATCATGATGATGTACCTGAGCGCGTTAGTTTGTGGACAGTTGTAGGGGTGTCACGACGCAAGGAGGCCAAAATCAATTTATCGTTATTGTAAATTTTCTGACAAGATGTGTGAATTTCAATTTTTTCCACTCCTTCAAGTAACCGTTGATGATCAGGCTTTTTCCGCTTCAAACTTGGAGCAAGAAGCTTATTAATTCCTCTTTTTTTAACCACAACCGCTTCACGTTCCGCCAAACTTTCTTCGCATATGAAACACTGTTCTAACATTATTGCAGATGCCATATCAACTCGGCAATACCATGAAAACAATACACGATGAAACTAAACACAAACAGTAAGCAGGAATTTGATGTCTATTACTGAGCCCAGGCCCGTTCAGCTATCGATACTTGTCAGATAGATAGGCGAGTTTCGCACGCATGACGTCAAAATCAAGAAAGGTTTATTTTTCAAAAATATTAAAATAGGATACAATAAAAAAATAATTCAGGGGCAAAGTAGTCTGTGAGTGCACGTGAAAGACACGAGGATAAAAGATGTTTATCTTATTATTGGTTTGAATTATGTTCAAACGGGAAGAAATTTTTGACAAGTTGAATTTTTTTTTGTATCTTTGAACCACTGTATCTCGGTTACTATTGCGTTAAAGAATACTCTTGACCAGCTAAATTTGAAAGAAAATTTTCTTAAACTTTATAAATAGATGTATTCCGCCAAAAATGCATGGTTTAGAAGTTATAAGCAAAAAACTAAAAAAGTTCGAATATTTCTAGGCATTTCAACTTCCCCCCAAGTTAGTGCAGGGTCCTCGAGGTCGAAAACTTAGATTCTACTCCATAGACTAACCACAAACGACAGGTCAAAATATCATTAACTTCGGAATACTTTCCAGCTACACCCTTTATTTATTACTTGCCTGATGGCCTGAAAGTAAAAAAATATATAACAAGCAAAAAAATAGTACCCCCAGAATAATAATTATTTGTGCGAAAAATATTTTTAAAAGCTAGAAAAATTTATGACAGATCCAAAATAAGGCTGATATCTTAAAAATTAATCTCTCTCTTTTTAGGTGAAGCTGAACCCAAGGAACAGCTTCAAGACGTAGAAGATCAAGACGTGTCATAATCTTAAGGCACATCAGGGCCCCCTTTTCGTTTGTGAGGGGGCACCAACTTAAATACCGAACTGTCGCGAGTGCTGTGTTGTAAAAGTGCGGGGGCGCGGGCTTATAAATTTTCATCCAATCATCATTCAATTTTTTTTTTATTACAGTCAATTTTTGAATCTGAGGCACGCACGACAGGGAAATTGTTACTTTTTTGTATTGTTTATGCGCCACAAAGCTGATTTACACACAGGATTCATAGCACATCATTATTTTTAGTTGAATCAAATTGTTTGTGGAAATGGTTACTTGATCTTAAAAGTAGTTCCGTTTGGCAGCTGTCAGTAACTCTCTTCCGTACATCAGATTCAAAATTTGCTGTGGGGCTCTCCATGCCTGCGCCCATAAGTGCATGGGAACCACCCCCGTGAGTTCCAAGTACATAATGTATTATTATTAATATTATTAAGTAGCTGTAACTCTGTTTTTAGTCTCTTTAGAGGATTGGGCCTACTGCTAGTCTTGAAAACGGATGTAGCTTATTTATTCTTTTAATGTCAGAAAAGCTGTTTTATATAATATGACAAATGAGATGTAATTTATTTATTGTATTTGGACTAAAGATAATCAAAAAAAGTATAAGAAAGTCTTGCTGTAGGCTCCATCTGAAAAGTCTTATTACTTATCTTAAAACAATGTATGAGTCTTGTGGTGAATGGCAATACGGTGAGTGTTTGAGGTAAAATTCTGCTAAGAGTTTTTTGTGAATGTTGAATCTATGAATCTTTTTTAGACGAAGGAAATCTGTCGCTTCGAAGTTATTTTTTTGTCTATTTATGTTTTTTTAGCCCCTTGAATAAATAAATACAGAAAATTTCAAATGTCTGGTTTTTAAGGAAGGGAGAGAGGGAACGAAGGTTTGAGGCTTTTGAATTTTTTTAAAAAAAAATAATAGTTGACCAAAAAATAAAAACACAAATTATTAAGAGTGAACATTTTGTACCATTTGCGCGTAACTAACTACTGTAGCCTTTGCATTTTTCCATTACTATTAAAAAATGAAATAAGAATATTACAAGCATACTACCTTAAAAATAAAATAAATAAATGTAAAATCCTTAGTCGTTAGTTGAAAATAAAAATAACATAACAGTTTGTATATTTTATAAATTAGCCTCATTTTTTTTTTTTTTGTATTTTTTAAGTCAGTATTTTTTTGAGGAGAATTTGAGTGCATTTGTCCGTACACAAAATGGCATTCCGTTGTAGCATTTTTTTTTATTTCTGTTTAACAATAGTACTTAAATGGAATATTTTTGATTTGGTCATGCTTGGCTTGTGAAAATTTGTTACTTAAGCGTAGCTGGAAAACACAAGTACTTAGTTCAAATGCAATTTATAGTTTTTTTTTTTTTTAAATTCATTATTTTTTGCTGTTAAGACTTTTATTGCATTATTTTGATGTGCGTATGAATGTAACAATGCTGTGTAGATTGATATAAAGAAATTTGATGTATTATTAATAAAACTTATTTAAAAAAAATTGATTGTATATTTTGTGCTTGGATTGACATTTTGTTTTGATCGTGGGAACGATATTGGATTGAAGCAACGTCACAAATTAACCTGCTCTGGAAATTGGCTTCTAGTGTAATAATTGGTGTAAGTAATCCTAGCAAAAAATGTGATTAATATCCTTACATTCAGATGACCACATGACAATATTTTCTTAAATTAAGAAAAAAATGATACCAAACTTTTATATGCATAATAATAATATGCTATGCATAGGTATCAGAAGAGTGTAGACATTAATCTTCAATGAATGATAGATAATGAGAGTATTGAATTTGTAATATGTATTAAGGGGATTGAATGCGCCTCGATGCCAAAATATTTTTTCCTGTGCGAAGCACCTAACGCAATCTATCATTGTATTCTTCCCCCCCTATTAATACTCCTTAGTGGGAATGAGATGAATGAAACAAGGAATGCATTGCGTTCTTAGTTTCAACGTAACTTTTTAGCAGTTGAAGTTATATCAAATTTCTTTTTTGCATTCGATTTATAATATAGGGAAGAATGGCGCTATCTTTTTAGAAATCCACCCCCCCCCCCAAAGTTCCTGAAATATATTGAAAGTTGGGAAAACTTGGATAAAAAATTTAAAGTTGGGAAAAATTGGTAGACAAAAATTTGCGCACCTGATTTGCGAGGACTAATTAAAATTAACATTAGGATCGTGTCACGTGTCGTAATGAATTGCAAAATCACCGGACAACAGGATGACGAAATCCCAATGGTCGCGGCGATTTCTTGCGTTGTACTCTGCACTGCACTAGCGCCACTAGCCTGTGGCAGTGGCACGTGACACTCGTGACAGTAGTAGTAGCACTAGCACCACTAGCGCTATATAGTATATAATATAATCCAAACATCTTATATTATGTTGCCTTCTGCATTCTGCGCATTCTTCGCTCGCTATTCAGATTTCAGCAGAACTCTGAATCCTGGTGCTCTTGAGTTCAAGAAATAGTTTTTGGTTTTTTTAAACATTTTTCTTATACCCACATGTTTTTTTATAAAGTTGTTATTTTATTTGATTATATTATTTGTTATTATTAAATCCTTTATTTAGCATAAAAATTGCTAGTTTACAATAGTACAGAATATATATATACAATTTGAAAAGTAACTAAGAAATAAAACGTAAAATAATTCATAAAATAAATAAACCAACAGAGCAAAACTGATCCCAAACAATACAGCAATTCAAAAGTTATCACAGGATCAACCATCCAGTATGTCACAATTACTTAGCATATAAATTTTTAATCAAATTTCACAGTTTTAGCATTTTACAAAGCAAATCACATCACCAACAGAAACAATCAATCAATCAATATAAACGGAAATCATAACAAAAAAAAAAAAACATCCTTGCAAAATACAATTGTACAATTATTAAAATGGATAAAGACAAGAGTCAGAATGGACAAAATTGACAAAAACCTGATCAAGATGTCTTGTTAAATGCACAAAGACTATGTTGACTTAGGAAACAAGATCATTTTCCCTAAGAAAAAACAATTTTAAATTTTTCTTGAAACCATTCAGAGATAAACTATTTTTAATATTATTAGGTAACTTCACATGATAGTATTATTCTCATAGCGCGGTTTTGCATTTTCTGTAAGCGGTTTATTTCATTTTGCTGCAACAAATACAAAATTGTTGCACAGTATGTAAAGTGTGGTAACACCAATGCATTAAAAACTACTAATCTTGACCATCTTGATAAACTATGCGAACATCTGCTGAGGTGACTAATTCCATAGCTTATTTTTGAGATAGTTAAGTTGCAGTGCTCCTTAAATGACATTTTGTCGTCTATAACTACACCTAGATATTTAATTTTTTTGACACTAGCTAAAGCCTCGTCACCCATTACGATATTATGTTGGTTAACCAGAAATAACTGCTTTATGCTTTCCTTTGCGATTAGAATATAGTTTGTTTTACTCTTGTTAACCTTAAGAAGATTTCTCTTGCAATACTGATCAATTTTCCCTAGAACAGTATTTATTTTGATAACTAAATGTTCAATGTTTTCAGAAGATCCATAAAGCAAGGTATCATCAGCGAAAAGATGTAACCCCAAATTATCCTCATTATTAACTACATTCACCATATCATTCACATAAAGCACAAACAAAATAGGGCCCAACACACTCCCCTGCGGAACTCCCAACTCATTGGAAATTTGCTCAGACATTTTTCCATTCAATTTCACAAGTTGTCTTCTGTCTGTTAAGTAACTACGAAACCACCTCAGTACTCTTCCAGATACTCCCATCTTTTCAAGTAGTTTGTAGGTCTAGTCTGGAATATAATAATATACAAGTAAAACTTTTTATCAGTTTTTAAAGTGAAACTTCTTAGGCGGCCGGCGATCTGATATTTAGACGAGAATATGGAGAGTTATTTGAAAGACGCATCACGTAACGTCACGTTTTGGCAAATTTCGTTACACGAGAGACGAGAGAGAAGGAAGATATAGCATAGACTGTAGAGAGACGGAGAAAGCGAGCCAATGACAATGACAGACGAAGAACGATTGACACAACCCAAGGATTATAAGCAAAGAGGATTGCCTATTCTTGTCAAGTGCTGATACCCTTGTGACGTCACTATGCGCGTCTCCCTTTTGTGTGGCCCTTCGTCTTCACCCCAACTCATACGCTAAGTCTTAAAGCTGTATGAGGGAGGGTACAGTTTTTAAAAAGTTTCACTTTTTAACACGTGCACGATGCTACACATGGTTTTTTTGAAGTGAAACTTCTTAGGCGGCGGTTTGATTTCGACGAGAATGAAACGACACGTTTTGGCAAATTTCGGCACACGAGAGACGAGAGAGAAGAAAGATATAACGTAGAGAGGCGGAGAAAGACATCCAATGATAATGACAGCCGACGAACGATTGACACAAACTAAGGATTATAAGCAAAGAGGATTGCCTATTGGGCTCGGCGCAAAATGAGACGCAGCTTGGTGACGTGAGACAGCTTGAGTCACGGCGAGTTTTTGTGAACCTAAGTAAGAATAGGTAATGCGCGTATTAATCCGCAGCGACCCGCAGCGTGACCTGACGACTTGACGCAGTTTTGGTCCTACGGAACGCAGTGTACCTACTTGCCGCAGTTTTTCTCGTAGATCGGATTCGACAAGTTTTGTACCATACCAAGCCATAGAGACTATATGCGAACAAAACTTAAAACTGAAAAGCAGCAGCTGCCATTTTATCTGCACTGTGGGTCTGCCTGCGAAGTGAAAACTGCCATTGTATTTGCGCGGTTACTCTTGTCAAGCGCTGATATCCTTATGACGTCAATACAGATGCGCGTTTATCTTTTGTGTAGCCTTTCGTCTCTATACCCCGACTCATGTGCTGAGTCCAAAAGTTCTATGAGGGAAGGAATAGTTTTTAAGAAGTTTCACTTCTTAACACGTGTACGATGCTACATGTGATTTTTTTTTATGTTTTAATAAAGTTCGGAAAATTAGGAATGTCCCCCCCCCCCCCCCCCCCCCCCCCAAACCAGAGGCCTTCGCTACGTCCCTGCCTATGGCTCTTTCCTCCGCCTGATTTGCGATAAATTTTAAATCGCTATCATGAAGGATCCAAGGCCAACCGGCCCAACAGTAGCCCAATGCAATAATCGCGATGAACCTCGCATCTTTATTAGCATTAACTTGTTGGGAGTTGTATAGTTCGACGTGCGTTACAATATATTTTAAACGGCGCATTCAATACCCTTAAATATTTGGGAATGCAACTTCAACTTGACAATAATTCACTTAGCTTTCAATTCCATTATGATTACATTGAAAAAATAACAAAAAAAAATTACTTTTTCAGTAGAATATCAGCAAGTTTGCCCTATCAAATAAAGCTAATTAGCCTCTTTTGACTTTTGTACCTCTTTGCTGTACAGGGTGTCCGAATTTGGATGGTTTTAATAGGAAACATCAATTTCTGAGCAAGATACAAAAAAATGAACCCCCCACTCCGAGGCTCAAATTTCATGAATTTTTGATTGGTGCAAACCGCATTTTGATATAGAGGGCGATTCTCGATTTTGAGCAATAATTATGTGAAACCATCATAACCGATCATAACTTTTTTGTTAATGAAAATTATTGATTTCCGTAAAAACTTTCTAAAAGTACTTTTTCAAGCAGAATTCAGTGACGTTCTCAGTTTTTTTCTAGTTGGTCCCAACTCCGAGATATTGACCAAAGTCTGGTTTTTTTCAATAGGACACTCTATATATTAATAGCTCATTAGAAAGCTCGGCTTTTTCTGATTTCAATGATATAAAGTTCGATAGGTTTATCTCTAATAGTTTTCGAGAAAAAAAATTATTTCGGTTTTTGTCATAAGAAGTAATGTGTAAGAAAAGGACTTTATATATGTAAGGAAACTGAGAAAGGTCTCTTTCTAACTCATTGTTTCTTATGACAAAAGCCGAAATATTATTTTTTCTCAAAAACTGTTAGAGATAAACCTATCGAAATGTTTATCATTGAAATCAGCAAAAGCAGAGCTTTCGAATGAGCTATTAATATATAGGGAGTCCCATTGGAAAAAATCGGATTTTGGCCAAAATCTTGAAATCGAGGCCCAATAGAAAAAAACTGAAAACGTCACTGAATTCTGCTTGAAAAAGTGCTTCTAGGAAGTTGTTACAGAAATCAGTTATTTTTAAAAACAAAAAAGTTATGGAGATTTCACAGTATTGCTCAAAATCGAGAATCGCCCTCTAGCGGCTAAACGGTTGAAGATATCAGAATGCGGTTTGCACCAATCAAAATTTCAAGAAATTTGAGCCTCGGAGTGGGGGGTTCATTTTTTTGTATCTTGCTCAGAAATTGATGTTTCCTATTAAAACCATCCAAATTCGGACACCCTGTACATGTTTAATTTGAACCAAATCTTTAGATTTTAGAAGTTCCAGAATCGTGGCATGAGAGC